AACAGCCAAGCAAAGCTAAGTGGTTCTGAACCGGATGAGCTGTCCATGAGCCGAATTATGGGCAAATGGAAGTAGCCTGGATGCCGGCCCGTTCCTGTGAGGCGCTGAAATGGGAAAGCGTATGCATCTAATGAAATGCTTATCTTATTAAAAAGGATTCTTTTAAAACAGCCTCTGCATAACTTGAAAATGGATACCCTAACAGATTACCCGGCACAATCGGAACATGATGAGTTCTAAAGGTTAGGAAAGGAAATACCCATAAACCTGGAGGGGGAACACAGGTGATGAGACTGATTGATGGGACACCTTAGAAACTGGAAATCAGTCCCAAAGTTCATGTCTTCCTATTTTCAAAACTGGATTGTCTTTTCTTTTCTTTTTTTCTTTTTTTTTAAGGGACTTTGTAATTCCTGAAAGGCAAAAGCAAATAATTATGAAGAAAGAATTATGAAAGAATTCTAGTCAAGTCTTGCTTCTTACTCAATTATACAAAACGCTTAATTAATTGTTTTATGTGTATGAGGCCGTCTTGTCAGAATGAAGTGTGCTCAAAGGAACAGACAGGAAGTGTGCTCGCTTGGAGGCAGCATCATAAAAATAGGATCCTCTTACCCCCTCACCCCTCCACCTCTCCACCCCACCCCTACCTCACATCCCTGCTCTTTGTTTGTTGAGTAGGTCTTGGTACACAATCTAGGCTGATCTCAAACCCACAATCCCCCCACCTCAGCTTCCTGAGTGCTACAATTACAGGCGTGTGCCACTGTGACTGCCTTGTATATTTTCTTATGGCTAGGATCACCTCCAGAAGGTGAGGAGATCTCAGTCATTCCTCATTATTTTTCATATGAAAAAAATGAAAGATCTTCATGACCTTGAGATGCCATAATAACTCGACAAAGACAATTCTTCTTGTGTGCTTTTAATTTAAACTGTAGCACTTGGCTCGGACAGCATTAATTACTGAACAACTTCTGGAAGCCACCATAATGATTGCTGTCATTGGCTGAGAGAGTACACCAAGCTGCTTACAGTTCTGAACAAACTCTACATGTTAATCCCACTTAAACTCAACCCTTCAAATAGAATTTTTAATTGTTTCGAAGTTTTATATTTATAGATACAGTATATTTATATTTTATGGCTAAAGAAGCTAAGGTTCTCTCTTGACAAGTTAAGGTGTCAAGAGTTATGGTTGTAATTTAGAGTCATGAAACATTTGCAAGTGTTTATTAAAAATTAGTGATTCTTGGGCAAAGACTTTTATTTTTAATTTGTTTTACCTTTATCTGTGTATCTACGCCTATACGTGTACACATGTGTGTGCCATGGTGTGGAGGTCAGAGGACAGCCTGGAGGCATCAGTTCTCTTCCACCATGTAAGTCCTAGGGATCAAACGTGGGCATCAAAATACCCTTTATCTGCTCCACCATCTCATTGGTCCCCACAAAGAATTTTTAAAGCAGATGAAAGATACACATCCTTTTATTCATCATAGTACTACATAATCTCCTTCCTTCCTTCCTTTCTTTTTATCTATCTATCTATGTATGTATCTGTCTGTGTATTTATCATTTTCTATCTATCTATCTATCTATCTATCTATCTATCTATCTATCTATCTATCTATCTATCTATCTAAAGACAGGGTCTCTCTATACAGCACTGGCTGTCCTAGAACTCACTCTGTAGACCAGGCTAGCATCAAACTCACAGAGACCCACCTGCCCAGGCTTGGCTTCCTTTCAAAAAAGAACAAAAACAAAAACAAAACAAAACAAAAGAACATAGCAGTCATGGTGAGACTCTGTTTCAAAAATAAATGAGTAAATATTTGATTATTTTTACAGTGCTGGGAACGAAACCTAAGGCCCTGTACATGTTAGTCAAGCACTCTACCACTGAGCCGTCCTCACCCCCAGTCTCCTCTTTTGTTTTTCAGACAAGTCTTGCTATGCAGGCAGGATAGCTTCAAACTCCAGACAAGCCTCCTGCCTCAGCCTCCCGAGTGCTGGGATTGCAGGTACATGACACCTTCCCTGACTATACCTCTCCCTTGTGATCACGTATATTTTCCCATTAAATACAACTACTACAGTTGCATGTGATTTCTTCTTGCGTTATCTGTGTTGCTTTATAATGAGTGTTCACATTGGGAAGACAGAGAAGAGTCTCTGGCAAAAGATTACATTGATTAGAGGGCCTCTGTAGGAAGACTTGGTGTGTGTCAGAATCACACACCAGTGGAAAATGACACCCATCAGTGGACTTGCAAGTGACAGAAGATCTGTCTTGTCAGAGAGAAGATATCACCAACCCGTGCATAACATCCACAGTGAAGCAGAAAAAAGCTATGATGCCTTGCAAAGGCTAATTATAAACAGGTGGTGGCTGGGGCCAAACTCCAGGAATACAAACGCATTCTGTTCAGTTCATTAATGCTTCTATTCAACTCCAGGAAAAAATGCGCATTCCATAGCATTACAGGAGTTTTGGGTTGGCTGATAAAAAACAGGTGATTTCCAACCCCCAACCCCTAACTGCCTAACTGACGGGGGATAAAATAAAACAGCATAATTGCCCTTCCTGTGTGGCAGGACCTCTCGTGGCGTCACAGGTGGAAGCTGCTGGAGCTGTAATGGCAAGATCTTCATCCAGAGACCACACCAGTGAGAAAGGCTGGCCACACAGCCTCAGCTAGTGAGGTCTCGGCACAGCCAGGTTGAACGCAAGATCCAAGGTCTGTTTGCATTTCCTAATACGAAGTGCAGCTGATCTGTTCAATTCCATCTGGGTGTCGGGCTGCTTCATTGGAGGGCTCTTCAATTTCACATTTCATCTCAGCAACTAATGTCCACATCTTGTCAAATTGCCACCAAGAAGGCACCTCAGGGCTGCCCTGGACAAAACTACGATGTTCTGTGGGAACTTGCGATTTGAGGGTTCAGTGACTACGAAGCGACCAAATGATCTGCCCCACAGTAACGCAGGAAAGAGGGAGCACACACTCCTGGGAGGACATGTTGTTTTCTCTTTCACAACCATCAGCATGCTCAACTTTTCCAGCCAAGCTCCTTGCTGCAAATTCAAAATATCTTTTTTTTTAATGCCTTTCAACACTAGTAGAACTTATGACTCTGAAATCTTGGAATATTCACGGAAATCGCTGAGTTTGTATCCTCGCTGGGTTTTTTCTTTGTATCTTTTATTTTGTTTTGTGTTTTGAGGCAGTCCAGCCTGGTGTCTCAAACTCACAGCAGTCCTCTAGTCTTCGGACCTTGGCTTCTTGAGCATTAGCATTACACCCTGACTGTGCACAGGTGTGCATCAACAACACCCTGGCTGTGCACAGGTGTGCACCAACAACACCCTGACTGTGCACAGGTGTGCATCAACACCCTGGCTGTGCACAGGTGTGCACCAACAACACCCTGACTGTGCACAGGTGTGCACCAACAACACCCTGACTGTTTTTTTTTTGCTGACAAAAACTATACCATTAGCTCTTGCTAACGAGTGTTAGACTGCTGGTCTTTAGATATTTGTGGACAGTAAGAGCTTAGAAAGAGTTTGAATGTTTCATCCTGTAATTAAAACACATATGTTCACACACATTACACAAACTCCAGAGTGGCTGAAGTTCATATTTGGTATCAGTCAGGGAAAAAGTATTTCCTTTTCTTTTCTCTCCCTCTTTTTCTCTTTTTCCTTTTCTTTTGCTTCTCTCTCTCTCTTTCTCTCTCTCTCTCTCTCTCTCTCTCTCTCTCTCTCTCTCTCTCTCTCTCTCTCACACACACACACACACACACACATTTATTTATTTATTTATTTATTTATTTATTTATTTATTTTGAGACAGGATTTTCTTCTCTAGTCCTGACTGTCCTGGAGTTCCCTTTGTGAACCAGGCTGGCCTGGAAGTTACAGAGTTCCACCTATTTCTGCTTTCAGAGTGCTGGAATTAAAGGCATGTACCACACCTGCTGAAAAAGGTATTTTCAAGTCATTTTGTGATTGCAAATAGAATTGAAATTGGCCTTGAGGTAAGATAGGGCCTGGCTCCTCTCATGCTGTTTCATGAATAGCCTGTTCATTTTAGGAGACAGTCTCTGTAGCCCAGGCTGGCCTAGCACTCCCTGGATAGCCTAGGATGACTAGAACTGGCAATCCTCCAGCCTCCACCTCCCAAGTGCTGAATTACGGGTGCACTCTCATGCCACCTATTTTAAAATTTAAAACTTAAAGATCATCATCTTCACTATTTAGAGAGCCTGAAGTTCGTTCATCTATTTGTATTGCATAAAACAAAATGCATTTTCAAGCTAGTGAAAATGAGAAGTTTGTGTGGACTGCCTGCCACTGGAACTACCACAGACTTGGACCACCTCAACCTATCAATGAACCAATTTTTATAAAGAGCATCTTGGGCCAGCACAATGGTTCAGCAGGTAAAAGGTGCTTGCTGCCTGAGCCTGATGACCTGAGTTCAGTCTCCAGAACCCATGTAAATGTAGAAGCGAACCAACTCCACCAATTGTGTTCTGACCTCCACACAAGCACTTTCACCCATCCATTCACCATACACACCCGCAAAAATAACCAATGAGAAATGGAACCTTTAAAAAATAAGTAGGCAAGCTTCTTCACTTCCTACCTTCATTGCTGAAATGATGGTGACATACTAGTCTGCAAAGGAGCTTCCAGCTCAAACATTCCAGGACAGCAGTGCACTGTTCTCCACAGGACATGTGGGTTTGAGATTCTGCGGGGGTGGGGGGGGGGGGTGGGGGTGGGGGGGGTGGGGGGGTGGGGGGGGGGGTGGGGGGGTGTGTTTCTGTTTTTTAATTAATAGTCTCTATAGATCACGGCTTTAACAGACAGGTTGAGCATCCCTAATTCCCAAACTCTGAAATGCTGTGCGTTGGTTTCTTTTTCTGTTACTGTGGTAAAATGCCATGCAGAAGCAGCTGAAAAAGGAAGGGTTGATTTTACTCACAGCTCCAGGTACTGTCCATCTTGGGTGGGGAGGGGAGTCACACCATGAAGAACCTGAAGCATTAAGTCAAATCATCCACAGATAAAAACAGAGAAAAAATGAATGAATGAATGAATGAATGAATGAATGAATGAATAAATGAATGCAAGGGTGCCTGTGCTCGGCTTGCTTTCTCTACTCTGCGATGTTGCCACACACAGGGTGTTGGTCTTCCCACTTCAATTAATGTAATCAAAATAATCACCCATAGACATGTTCAACCTGATCTAGACAATCTGTCATTGATACTCTCTTCCTAGAAGATTCTAGATTACATAAACTGACAAAACTATCACATGCTCCAAAAGTTGAAACTCATTGAGTAGCATTGTGATTGACTGCACAAGGGGAAAACTCCACACTGGGAGACTTGGCTTGATGCGCAAGAGTCTTAAATACATTGCACAATGGCAGGGAGACAGGCTCAGTCAATACTCTTGCCTTGCAAGAATGAGTGCAGCGGCATACCTGTGGGATCCCAGAGCTGAGGAGGCGGAGATAGGGACATTCTTGGGGCTTGCCGGTCAGCCCGCCTAGCTGGATCAGTGAGCTTCAGTAAGAGACCCTGTCTCAAAAAACTAAAACAAAAGGAAAACACTAGATGTTGACCTCTGGCCTACACACACACACACACACACACACACACACACACACACACACACACACACGAAATTGCATCTGCATACATGTGCACACACACATGAACACATACATCGACACCCCACACAAATGTGTGTGCTTACCTTCAGGCTGTGCGCGGAAGGTATTACATAAGATATAAATGAATGTCATGTTCAGAGTTGGGTCCCATCCACTCATGTCTCTTTATATGTATGCTTTATTTGAAAATCTGAACTCCCTGATTCTAAGCATTTCAGGGAAGAGATCCTCACATTGCCTGAATTACCACATCAAATGACTGGATTTGTTTTTTCACTTCTCTATGTTCATGTCCTTTGGAAAATGAACCATCCATTCTGTTGAATTTAGCTTTTGTAGTCACTTTAAACATTTTATTGCAGGTCACAGAATATATCTACCAAAGAGATATGCAAAGAAACTATGAGTCTCTTTGTGTTGCTTTTTAAGATATTTTTCTTTTCTTCCAAGGGAATGATGTTCTCAAAGCAATTGCCCATGCCCTAATATACTTTCCACACTAAAAGGAAAAACCTACCACTACCTCTGACTCTTCTTATAACATCAGTCTCTTAAGTCATTACAGATTAGTTTGTTGGACCCTATTTTTAAAAAGACAAACGAATTCCTTCCTTTTTCTACTGACATTGTAGCACTTCCTCACCTTGAAGGTAAAATGATGGGTAAAATCACTTCCTGTAAAATGCTGCCAGCTACAAGTATTTGCAAGGCATATCTGGTTCTGTGTAGGCTTTCCTGTTTCTGTATCCTTGGCCGTACAACCTGCTCAGGCGCTCGCTCTCTCTCTCTCTCTCTCTCTCTCTCTCTCTCTCTCTCTCTCTCTCTCTCTCTCCACATGTATATGTATATATACATGTATATATATGAAATGTCAGCAAAGTCTTTGAATTAATGAACTGTGAAGTACTCAAAAACATACCATTTCAAAAAGCATCCTGCAAGGATTTAACACTAATGGGAGGTGACCCCTGAGTTTACAATCAAATATCCCACTCTAACTGAAAAGAATTAAGATAAAGGACAGTCTTCAGCAAAAGTCTTTGAACAAAGACCTAGAGAGGAAGAAGTGATGGGGGGAAGGGTCAGAACCCAGAGCTGCAATCTGGGGAGATGTGTTTGTGTTTCTCTCTTTCCCTACATGAGCCCTTCCGTCAAATAATGGACTCCCTACAAAGGTATCAGGGGGAGGCAAGCAGAGAATACAGGAGGTATGTTCAGAAGATTGATCAAATAAACCTAAATGGTAGGTATGTTGGGTTTTGTTTTCTTTTAATTTTGCCACTAAAAAAAAAAAATGCAGTGTAACTCCTTCAATCTTTTTACAATTCTGCATGGTTGAACATTTGAAATGAGTTTGTGTATCACCCCCAGGCACTGATTCAGACTTGATTGGGGCAAAGCAGACTGCATGTGCTTATTTTTATCCACGTCATTTGGGACATTTATGTCGCCAAAGGAACCAAAACCATGCTGTTCTATTGCCAAATTATCACCTAGCCTTTGATCAGACAGGGCGGTGAGCCTCATCAACAAGTTGTGGGACCTTCTGGTAACAGCAACGTCAGGTCAACTCGAGAAAGTGAAGCGAGAGCTCTAAACACAAATAAAAAAAAAAACAACCAACAATCCTTATAATTATCATCATCTGCTGCGTTTCCCTCTTTTGGCAAAGAAACACTCCATCCATTTGTAGAAATCGCCTGCGGACACGTTACATCAAAACTAATCACAACGATTAAAATCAGCTTTTCTGTGCAAGAGGAGAGTGAAAAGCAAGTTGGAGGATGGAATGAGACTGTTTTTCCAACAAAAAAAAATCTGGGGAAAAATTCCTATATGTATATTTCTCTATAGTCGATGTAAGGCTTTATTTTTGAAGATCAACTGTGCACCCTGTGATCGGTTAATTTGATTTAAGTTTTATTTTGGAGATTTGGACTAGAGGTAGAGGCGCGAGCTAATTGTATCCTGATCCTTGCCTTGAGGGGTTTCAAAGCCCTGGAGCAACTCTCCTCTGTATTTTGTTCTGTCTACCTTAGCCAAGCTATTGCATTTCTCTCTGGTGTGGCGAGGCGAGCAGATCGCTGGGAGAGAAATCGGAAAAGGGGGGAGAGGAAAAGGAAAAGGGGACTTGGAGAGAGACTTTGTGCTTCAATGTTTCAGGTAAGATCTGACGGTTTGGGTTTGTTATTATTTGCTAAGGAGGGTATGGCTGGGACTTTGGGCGCAACTCGCTTTTACGCATGTGCCAGGCATGGGGCGAGAGCGCGGCACACTCGCACACACGCAGCCGGGCGCGGACGGCGGCTGGGGATCCGCTCGCACCGGCTGCCGCTGCGGCTCCTCGGTTTTCTTCCTGGCAGAGGGAGCCGAGCGGGTGCCGGCCGAGGCGGCGGGAGCCTGGGTCGGGGCTCCGCGGGGTCGGTAGCCGGCGCGCGGACCGGGCTGGGGTGGTGGTGGTGGTGGTAGGGTGTCCCCGCGGCCGGGTCCTGCGTCTCCCAGCTCAGCCCCGCGGCTCTCGGACCCCCGCGTCCCGTCCCTGCTCCCGCCAGCCGCGCGCGTCCATTCTTCCCGGGGCGCCCCGGGGCTCGGCGCCGATCGCGTGGGGGTGGGGACCGTCGCCCCGCTGGCAGCCAGCCTTGGCGGCGCCCCCCGGGACACCCGCTCAAAGACGCCATTGTGGCTGCCGAGCGGATCGGGCCCCGGGGCGCTTTATTTATTTATTTATTTTTCCCTTCCCCTTTCTCCCGGGCTGAGCCCTTTTGTGAGCGGCGGCTGGTGCCGAGAGCCGGCCCGCGTGCAACCCGGGCTGATCCAGATTCGTCGCCTCCGCCCACTCGGGCGCCTTTAAAGCCCTTTCCCATCCCCTCCCATTTCCCCTCCCCCCTCCCGGGGTGCAAATGTTTCATTTATTTTTTAAAAAGCGCCGGTTCCTCTTCCTCCCCACCTCCTCCCCGGTTAGAGAGCCTGGATTAGGAAGTCTCCCTGGGAGGCCGGCGCAGGCTGGGGGCGCTGGGGTGGGGGAAGGCTGCGGTCGCCGCAGGTAACGGCGGTGGCTTTTGGCTTTCGCCCCCTCTCCCGGAGCCAGCAGCGCGGAGTCCGGAGCCGCCGTCCTTCCCTCCCCCTCTTCTGGCGGCCACTGTTCCCTTAAAGGGACAGAGTTTCCTGGTCGCCACCGGTGTGCGCGGTCGGAACCGGCGCTCCGGGGCGCAGAGGTGGGAGGAAGGGAGGCAGTTTGGCTCCTTTCTGACCTCTTTCCTCCCCACCCCCCAGCCTGCCTCCCCTCTTGATGGAAATGTGGAGTGCGCTTCCTCTCCTGCCCCCAAGAGGGACCTGGCTGGAAAATAAAAGAGTCCTCACCTCCTGGAAAAAAGAACGGGGCGGGTGACGCGTTGTGGTGAATTGCTTCCAAAGTGAGGTGGAGCCCCTGAACGTCCAAGAAGGGGAGGGCGAAGCTGTGGTGCGGGGACTCCTTACCTGGACGCCCGCCTGGCACAGGCGTCCCGCATACAGCAACTTCCTAGCGATCGCTGGCCGACAGGGATCGCCTTTGTGCTTTCCAACACTTAGGCTGTCGTGGAAATGATTTTCCAGTGTCAACACGTTTTCACCGTCACTGTGCTTCGGGGGCCGGCTGGGTCGGAGCGGACTAAGTTAGCAAAGTTACGATGGGGCGGTCGGCTTTGTACGTGGAGAATCGCACGCGGGAACTGTCCGAGACCCTCTTGGCTCTGGCTTCCTGGCTAAGAGGGACTCCGCAGTAGGCAGAAGTAATTTGATTCAAATATTGTACAAATATTGTACTACCGTTTAGACCGTAGTACTGACTGCCTTCAAGCAAATCTTTGCTCACCCCTTCCCGTGGTGTGTGTGTGTGTGTGTGTGTGTGTGTGTGTGTGTGTGTGTGTGTGTGTGTGTGTGTGGTGTTTGCCCTTGGTGGCACTCAGGGAGACACAATAGTTTAGCATACTCATTCTTTAAGAAACGTTTGCCTTCTGTTTTCAATCAACTAAGCTGGCAGCCTGAGATACAAGTTTATTTGAGAATACCCTCTGGGTACCAAGCATGCTTGGATTGTTTTAGCAAATTAAAAATGAGCAAAATGCTTTTACCTTCTCAGCAGTAGACTCCTTAAGAGACCTCCTGTTTCGTGTGTTATGTGTGTGCGTTCCGGGGGAAGCATTTTCTGTGTGTATCTCAAATGTTTTTAATGTGGGAAAGAAGAAAATAAAGGATTTTTAAAGGCTGAGACTGATGCCATGGAATGATTCATTAAATCTGAGCCAACATCAAGGAATTTACCTGCCCGTATGGGAGGTTGTGGGAGCTAATAGCCAGCCGGCTTGGTGAATTTTAAAAAGCAGTGAGTCCATTTGTCTCGAGGATAATGGGCAAGATGCCGCTTTATTCCTCGTGTTTAGATTTTGGTGACATGTGGCTTCGGAGAAGGGGCTGGCTGTGTAGGAGTCCTGCTGATGCAGATTGAGAAGAGCTGTTGGTGACTGGAAGGATGGCAGCAGGCTAAGTGGTTACTAATGAGGGGACAAAGGTGACCCTGGAACTTTAAAACTCCAGATCGCAGAGAAAACTTCACGGGATGGGGCTTTTGTGTATAAGGAGAATGTAACTGTCGAGGCAAAAGTGCCATTGGTTTCCCGGGACGAAATCTCTAGATGCATTAAGTATGAATGATAGTTGGGGGGGAAATCTCCCTCCACAGCACGCAAAATGACTGCAGTGGTTTTTGCTCTATTAATTATGCCCGGAGCACAATATAAACTCCCCGAACACACACTAGAGGTCTCTCTTCTAGCTGTACAATTGTTGGGTTTGTAATTCTTTGCCAGACCTTGTATAGTAAGGGTGCTCAGTAAAGGCCTGCTTCAAAAGTAATTTTGTCTTCCTGGTTATTCTTCATATTCTAAAGGGAGGCATGTATTTGGGGGAGAGTATTCAGTAATTACTGCCCATTTGATGCTACCCAAGCATTTGGAAAATAACTATAGTAAGAAAGACTTCTACTGACTGGTGAAAATGTACTGGTCAGTTTGCATTGAATCCTGCATTTTAGGCTTACCTACACCAAATTATTTACCCAAAGCAATTTCTTTTAAAATGCAAGCATAGAAAGTGAAAGCTGTATTCGTTGGAGAGAGTTCTGAAATTAAGTTCCATTTGACTCTGCATTTAGCAAATAACGCTTGTACAAATGCTTTCTGGTCTTGACATTTCTAAGCTCAGTGTGATGAGTGTAGCATCCTGAAATACACTTTTTGCTCAGATCTCCCCTTTGCATCCCTCTTGAGTGACTCAAAGACTCTTTTAAAGTTGCTTCTTAAACTGCATTTTCTGAACTTTTTTCAACTATAATTTATCTTTTTCCAATAAACAAAATTTTATCTATCCTCAAGATGAAACACCTTGGGAATATGAACTTTTGGCTCTGTGTGCTTATTTTGAGAGCTTCCTCGTGCAGACTCGAGGAACAATTGGACTTCCCTGAAAACAGTAACAGCTCCCTGACTTCTCATTCATAAAAATGTACTAGACGTAACTAATATTTTGCTTTTGAAGAGTTTGATTTGAGAGCTCTGTGAAGAGTAAGATGAGATTATCGTTTAAGAATCATTTTCTGAAGTCTGTCCTCATTAGGCTCATCCATTCATTCAACCAATATTTATTTGTTCTGGCTGTACAGGAAACTCCCCGTTCGCGGCTGGAGACTCCGTGGTGGGGAAGGGCATCCAGAGCCGTGATTGCCTGATTCCAGAGACAGACGTTAACCCAGTAACCCAACAGCTGATAGAGATCAGTGCTTTGAAAGAAAAGGGAAATTTTAGTAGGATGAACCCAACAGGGGCAAAATGACCATGCCTAGGGTCAGATTTCCAGAGAAAGCTCCAGAAGCTGAGATCTAAATGTTGAGAGGCAGGGTGAAAGAGCTGGGCTGCAGGACGGAGACCTGGTTTTCACCCTCAGAGCAATACCAAGGGCTAGGTAAGTGAGAAAAACGAGGAGAGCCATGGTGAGGTGTGTGCACTGGAAGGACAGTTCTGGAAGCACAGAGGCAGATGATTAGACAGCCCGAGGTGGGGGATGTGCAACCCTCGAATTGGCTATTGCAGTGGGTGGGGCAAGAGCAGATGGAACTGTGGCAGAAGAAGCAGTGATGGAAGAATCTGAGATCCATTTAGAAGGTAAACATTGCAGAATCGAGGGAAAGGTTGGTTGCGGGTCACCAGAAGGAGAGAGTTGTGCGGGTCACCAGAAGGAGAGAGTTGTTAAGTGTCAAGGTTTGGGGCACGTTGTGACTTGACTGTAAAATGTCCCCCGAATAGATGGCGGCTGGTGCTACAGATTTGGACGGTTATGGAACCTCTAGGAGGCAGAGCCTTGCTTGAGGAAGTAGGTCACTGAGGATGGGCTCTGAGCCTCATATCCTGGCCCTGCTTCCTGTCCTCTCTGTGCTGGCAGGTCAAGCAAGATGTAAGGGTGGGGGGCGTCCGTGGGCATACCCCTGCCACCTAAAGCCGTTGCTACCGTAGCTTTCCCGCCGAGAGGGACTGGCCCCCTCAAACTGTAAGCCTAAACAAACCTTTACTTCCCTAAGTAATACTCCTGTATATTTGTTCGGTCGCAGCAAGAAAAGTAAGGAATACAGGGCCTGTTAATCAGATAGAGGGTGGTGTTTGGTAGGCAGGGTTTGGCAGTGAGAAGCCTCATTCACACCCAGTGTCTCTGAAGTCACAAAGGCAGCCAAGGCATTTGGTCTGCTCATTCTTCAACGGCTCCATTTGTTCTACAGTCCTGTGCGGTGGCCGCAGCACATCAGGCCCTCCTCTGCCTGCCCTTCACATCCTCTTCTCCAAGCCCCCTTTTTCTTTGTGAGCTGCCCTGTGAGGTCTGTTTAACTTGCTCCTGATAAGCTGGGAGTCATCATTGAGAGAGGCTTGTGTTTAACCTACTGGAACAAAATCAGATCTGTGTCCTATAACACACATTGTGTCAAGAATCTCATAAACCAGTGGTGTTGTGACTGGCAAGCTGCCCATGCTTCTGTAAATAACCCTGCACCCATGCCCCGTAAGTCAGTCTAGTTCAATTCATTGGGTCATTTAAAATGACGCAAGAGAAGGAGAACTGGGTGGGAAGAGGAGGGGGACGAGCAGGAGTTGGGGGACAAGGAAGGAAATGGGGTGAATAGAATATTGTGTGCATGTATGAAATCTGTTATTGTGTATAATAAATTTATCCTAGTAATTTTTTTTTAAATATTAAGGTGTTAAAATACTAGAAAAATCGTTTGGTGGCTGGAGAGATGGCTCAATGGTTAAGACTGCTCACTGCTCTTACAGAGGACCTGGGTTTGGTTTCCAGCACTCACATGTTGGCTCACAGTGGCATATAATGTCTGGCTTCTGTGAGTTCCTGTATTGCATGTAGTGCACATAAAATGTAGCGGGCAAGGCACACACACATACATAAAATAAATGAATAGATATTTTTTAAAAATTAACTGTTCAACTCTGCCTTTTAAGGTCATTTACATACAAATAATATAATCATTGTATGTCTCTCAAAAGAAGGACTTGTAATGATATAAATAACCCTTAGATCGTCTCCTGCCTAGATAGATTATTTTTGCATCTGTCCTTTGTGTAGGTGACTGTCTTAGTCAGTGTTCTCTTGCTGTGAAGAGACACCATGACCATGGCAACTCTCATAAAAGAAGGCATTTAATTGGGGCTGGCTCACTGTTTCAGAAGTTTAGTCCATTATCAGCATGGTGGGAAGTATGGAGGCACACAGGCAGACATGGTGCTGGAGAGGAGTGGAAAATCCCACATCTGGATCCAGAGGTGGCAGGAAGAGAAAGAGAGACACTGGGCCTGGCTTGGGCTTCTGATACCCCAAAGCCCACCCCCAGTGGCACACTTCCTCCAGGAAGGCCACACCTACTCCAACAAGGTGACACCTCCTAGTCCTTGTCCAACAGTACTACTCCCTAATGACCAAGCATTCAAAGCTAGGAGCCCATGGGACCATTCCTGCCACCACAGTGACTTTTATGTCGCTGGGACAAAATACCGGAGAGAAGCGATTAGGAGAAGAGACGTCCGTCTTGGTTCTTGGTTTCAGCTTAGGACAAGAAAGACATGGAAGAGTGCTTTGGCTGAGAGGTTCATTTCAGGCCGCAGGCTCCTGTGGGGGCTAACCAGGAAGTATAGACATTATTTCTACCACCTAGACCCACCTCCTCACCAATCCACAGCCCCCTAAAATACCTTCATCCACTGGAGAACTAACATCCAGACCACGAGCCAGTTGGGGGACATTTTAAATTCAAACCATATGATCCCTAAGGCAGTTTGAACTTTATCCACTGACCCTTGGCTAGCCTGGTCTCCAGGCAACCTTTTCATATTTCTATATAAGTGAACATTTTGGTACTTCTGATATCTGATATTGGTTCCTTCTTTTAATTTGTTCTTATGTCTCCAAAACTTCTTCCTTGATGTCTAGATTCCCAAAAACACAAAAGAGCTAGCAGATCATTTTGTCCAGTATGCTATTCACCACCAAAGCAGCACTAAGTACTGACTTCGTTTTTAAATAATTTAGAATTGGGCATTAAGTGGTTTTGCTTTCAACATCAAAATTTATTAGGAAGGGAATTTCCACTAAAGAAGTCTGCTACAGATCTTTTTTAATAATATGTGCCTTTTCTGGTTGTACTTCTTCCAGAAAATTCCAGGCTGGGGCTCCTTCCAGAAAATTCAGGCTTCAGTGATTTCCAGGAAACAATGTGAATACCATTCTCTTTGTGGGAGTTTGATACACAGCTAGATTCCCTAAGACATTTTTTCCTGATGGTTCTCAAGCAGGTAGCCTTAAGGCATGGGCTCTAATTAGATAAATATCCCCCAGTTCGGCCATATCACCTGTAGTTCCAACTCCACCCTGCCTTGTGTGGTTGCTAAGAGTACATACAGCTTCAAATACCCCAAGGCAGGTGCTTGAGCCCCGCTGTGTCCAGGCTGCATGAGTGCCCAGACACTGGGAATGTCCATGACGAAGAGGAGCAAATCCACCATGCTCACTGAACCCATCCAATAACACTACTTACAATGGTTATATGTGTAAGTCTGGGGTTGGGGCCGAGCAGGGATTCTAAGCCAGTAGATCACCTATCAGATGTGTTGGGTGGAAAGTATTCGTGGTAAACTCAGAGCCACCAATAATGTGTTGGTACTGAACTAAGGGAAAGAAATTGTTAAGTTTCCCCTTGGTGTAATTTCACCGAATTAGTGAGGCTAGATTTGAATTCTTTCTCTCCCTGTGTCTTCTGTCATTCCTGTCTGTTGGTTGTATGAGTCTGAATCTCAGCCTTCCTGAAAGGTGTCTTGTTTGTCCCTCTGTCCATCAGTCACCCGTCTGTCTGTCTCTATCTGTCTCTGTCTCTCTGTCTCTCTGTGGGTGTGTGTCCGTCCTTGCATGTCCGTCTGCTCCTCCCTTGCTCTGTGTTTACTTAACAGGACAGAAGCACCACATGGGGAAGGAATGGGGTACCTCACAGAAATCTTCAGCAGAGTTTCACAAGTCACTGACTCTAGCTGACCTCATTATCAAACAAACCAACACTGTCCAGAACTATGTGAATGCTGTTTACAGCATTTGTGGGGAGTCTTCGTTTGATAAGGCTGCTTTCAGCCTGTTTTCTGTTTCCAACATTTATTACCATAACACACACACACACACACACACACACACACACACACACACACACACACACACACACTGCTCTTGGGTCTGGGCATGGAAGAGTATATAATTTAAGATTACAGCTATGGCCGGGCGGTGGTGGCGCACGCCTTTAATCCCAGCACTCGGGAGGCAGAGCCAGGCGGATCTCTGTGAGTTCAAGGCCAGCCTGGGCTACCAAGTGAGTTCCAGGAAAAGGCGCAAAGCTACACAGAGAAACCCTGTCTCGAAAAACCAAAAAAAAAAAAAAAAAAAAAAAAAAAAAAAAAAAAGATTACAGCTATGCATTTACTTAGGTTATAAAAGTTGATTATATGGGAAATATAAGTAAGGTTGGTTTTTACATTGTTCTCCTAAAAGCAGTTTCTGGAAACAGGCTTAGTATGCAGTAGAATAGCAGTCTGAAGTCTTAAGTGATTCTAAGGTATATTATTAACTTTGTCTATGGGGTCCTTCAAAAGTTTCTGTCCCTTTGAATGGAGCAGGTATTTTCATAATAATGTATCACCACAGCCAAACCTTAGCATTAATCTTTTCATTGTTTCATGCACATTCCTAGCTCACTATCCAATCTAGGCTAATGGGATGGGTTTTTTTGTTTGTTTTTGTTTGTTTTAGGTTGTTTGTTGAGATGGAGGGTTTCACTATGTGAAATTCCTAGGTGGCCTAGAATTCACTATGTAGAACTGGTTAGCCTTAAACTCAGAGAGATCCTTCTGCCTCTGCCTCCTGGTTCTGAGCATTTTGATAGGCACTGTGCAGAGTGTTCCTGCAGGGCCG